CCCCGCCACGCCCTACCACGCCCCGCCACGCCCCGCCACGCCCTAGCTGGCGCGCACCTGCCACTCGCCAACTCTTCCCTTGTTGCGTCTATCTCCGTCTCTGTCGCCGGCGGCGAGCCCGGACTGGTACACAGAGGGTACACAAGATGGGCCTCCACCGCTCCGAGAAACACATTGACTTCCGGCCTCCCGCTCCCGCACAGCCAGGGAGCAATACAGCAATACAGACAAGACCACTTAAAAAAGAAAATAACAGCCGTGGAAAACTAAAGATTGCTTATTTTTCCTCAGCAGGACTGTGCGCTTTCTTTTTCATAGCCCCATAGGCCCTGCCGGTAGTCCTGCGTCTTCTTCATAAAAATGCCGCGTTTTTGTTGCAAATTTTTTTTCTTACGATCTACGAACGTTATGGGGGGAAAAGGGACGATACAAAGACAGTCTTGTTAGAGATGTTAGTTTCCACATTATTATTAATTTTGTCTCAAAATGTGGGTCCTGGTTCGAAATCTGGACGAGTGACTAAATGTATCATCCAACGTGAAAAATATCATAGGCTTACCTTAAATTTCTCACAGCAGTCGCTTCGAAGCTTACACTCAGAACTTCACGAATAATTCGCCGTGGAAACGTAGCCAGAACTCTTCGTGGTTGTTTTGAAAATAACAACTCTTCTTCATTTTGAAAAATAAGATAATTTTAGAAGTATTATTACGACTGGCCTACAAATATTTCACATTGGAATAGATATATGATCGATGTTTTCACCACAAAGAACTGCTGGGATTTTACAGCTGCTACAAACCAAGCAAGTGTTAGGAAATCACAAAATATTTTAAACAATACAGGGAAAAAATTTGTTTTGAAATGCAACAAGACTCGTCTGGCGCGCGTGGTGACAGTGGACTCGGCTGGTAGGAGCGCACAGGCGGCCAAGAGGAATATTCAACGAGACTGATTCTCTAAGAAGCCCCCTCCCCCCTCCCCTCCCCACCCGCTGGCTCCGGCGTGGCCCCGACCCCAACCCTTCCTTTGGTGTGGCGACCAGAATGACTCTCCGCGCGCAGTCGCTATTTTTCAGTCTTTCACTGGCGCCGACTCGAGCCGTCTGAATATCCATTAGCGGTGCGCGGTACCACTGTACACTGCCCGAGTGAACGCACACGGACATGCACGCACTATTGGGTCTTCCGGTAAGTAATTGATCCTGCTGATCCGACGCATTGAAGCTAGTCTATCTTGCGAAGGCACTGCATGTGGAACAACCCAGGTGTGGGTAGGCAAACTCCACTCGCAGTGGCGCGTGCACCAAAACAGTCGGTATACCTTTGCCGTACCCTGCAGGGTGTGGCAACCCCCACCTGGTGCTCCGCGCCCCACCACGCCCCAGCAGCAGGTTGCGGCGGTGTAAGTGTAGGCGAATGAAAGTACTGTCGGGGCGGGGCGGGGACTCTGCGCGGTCCTTACCAACTCTGCCGGCCCCGGGCGAGCAGAAGAGCCCTCTGCTTCTCCACAGCTCTCCCCACCCCGCCCCGCCCCGCACGAGACAGTGGCCGGGCCCGGGCCCCCAGCAATTAGAGGGTCCCTGGAAGTATTTTTCGGCACTCACCCACCGCACTCGTCGGGCCAGCCGGGCGCGGCCAGCAGTGGCTCCTCGTCGTC